TGGTGATACGTTATTTGTAACCCGCAAAACAAAAATGTATGTTAAAATTATAATTATAAACAGACTATCTTTTATAGAGATTTCGTAATTGTTAATTTGATCTTAATGATTGCTTTGGGTAATTCCAACCCCTTTTTTAATCTTACTCGTGGATTATTTAACGTTATTCATTATGTTGCTCCACAAAAGGTTGTCTTGTGTTTACATTATTGCTTAATGGCAAATATTTAATTATCCTATTGAGGAAGTAGCATAGCAATAGCCCAGACTAATTTGCATTGTCAGGTAGGGCTCGATTTACCTTTGGGACTTTGACTCAAGATGGCTGATGAGTGTAATGAGGTAATATTTATTGAACCTCAAGATGACTGATGACTATAGTGACATCATATCTCTCAGACCTCAAGATCGTAGCCTCCAATAATGACCAATATAAACGAGTTTGATAGAGTACCAGTTCTTACATAGATATGATGATATCAATGACATTTTCTGACCAATCATAAGTCATGTAGCTAGTGGCATTTTTATGATATTTTTATTTATGTGCGTGTGTGTTTGTGGGGCATAAGATGAGCAAAAAGTTAGCTGGGGAAGCAGAAAAAATTAACACTTTCATGTCACTGAGAGCCACAATGTAGAGAATATAAATACCTTAAAAGACTGACTATATGTCAGATTGGGGTTGCTGGAGGCAGAACTCTCCAATGGGGGTATGCCCCCACCCCGGTGGACATGCCCCTAAGTGTACCTGGTTCGTTCAAACACTGTATATTACCAATATCAGTATCCATTGTTCAAGATGCATCATTGAGTGATATATCAAGAGTGTTCATATTAGTGTCTCTGCTAAGTTAAGGAAAGTTAGAAATTATTTAATTTTCTTGATAATTTTAAACTGAATTACACTTTTTTACTATTGTTAGACTCTTATTTGTTGAGACTGGTGCTCAGATGTAATTTCCATAACATAGCTTTGCCTGCAGAGAACACAATAATGGTACCCGGAATGAGTAATTTAGCATCGTTTTTATAGGTTCCAATCTGTGGAAACCACCAACAGTATGTTTACACGAAGATTAAAAGTTTGCCTAGAGATGAAACATACCACACCAGTAATGTTTAGGACTTTGTGAAATATCTGAAGAGAATATTTTGTGATATTCCTGATCTTTTCCAGCTTCATGATTTTGTCAGTGTGCCTCTTCCAAACGATTGTAATTCCATTGAATATTTTTACCATTTTTGTATGGCCTAGGAATTTAACATGGCGAATCTTACAAACAAGTAACACGGGTTTTAGCCAAATGGATCGTTCTTACTTGTAGATTCAACTTGTGAAAAGCAACAAAGGGCTATTAGCGCATAGCAATCTTCGATTTTGAATTGAGAAGATAGAGGGAAGGCACCGAGTCAACAGGATCCACAACCATTTCTTGAGCTACAATTCTCTGACTGAACAGTGGGATTTGACAGTGCGTTCAATATGTTGTGAACCATAAACTTCCGGAATCGCAGCCCGTACACGCTAGTTACTAGGCCACGCACGGCCTCTTAGTTCGTTTCAAATTAGATATAATGTTCAGGCTCTTATAGATAGTGGCTTTAAAGATAGTGAATCTTTAAAACTCAGTATCTTCTCAAAGATGAAGATCTTTTTGGTTAAGTCTGGATTTTTTTTTTATAATCAAAAGAGACAATTAACAATAGATATTTTATGCATTTATTTTTGATATAATACACGAAAAACGAAACCCAATAATACTTAAGTTTAAAAATGTTTATTATGTCACTAAAATTGCTGATATATTATATTTTGTGCTTCCAGAATCATTGGATCGTGGTTATTCTGGTGCATAAGGAATCGAACATAGTAGGTGTACAATAATGGATTTTACACAAGAAAAAATATATATGTTCGCTGATTAACTTACAAGTAATAACAAATATATCATCACACGTTTGTGAAAAGCGTACACGGAATCTTCTCAGTATCTTACTAGAAAGATTTCGTTTGTTTGTTATGGATTTCGCGCAAAGCTACACGAGGGCTATCTACGCTAGCCGTCCCTAATTAATTTAGCAGTATAAGACTAGAGGGAAGGCCACCCTTCACTAGTCATCACCACTCACCGCCAACTCTTGGGCTACTCTTTTACCAACGAGTAGTGGGATTGACCGTCACATCATAACGCCCCCACGACTGAAAGGGCGAGCATGTTTGGTGTGACTGGGATTCGAAATCGCGACCCTCAGATTGCGAGTCGAGCACCCTAACCACCTGGCCATGCCGGGCCTTATTAGAAAGAGTGATCAATTAGATAACTCTCAATATGACTTGATGGTAAATGATCCAAGAAAGTATTAAGACAGTTTGAGTTGAAAATCTTGTTACGAATAATGGGGTATGGTTTGTTTCACTTTTCTTATTGAATTGTAGAAACTCAGACCTTACCAGTATGAAAAATCTGTATATAAAGGAAATAATTATAAATTACCTAAGCATTTCGAATAACAATTTGCACGTGACTTGATAATGAAATTTTATTACCTGTGATTTAGTCCCAGACTAGTAATGACGATAATAATCCGACACAATTTTCTCATTTCATTTAAACAACATTTAAGTAAATAAATATATATATAAAACCAACAAATTACATTATTAATGCCTGAATTGCTATAACTATAATAAGATTTAATTAGACGGTATGTTTTAGTGAAGGATCAAACCTTGGATTTTAGCGTTCTACGTCCGTAAACTTATCGCTGACCCATCTGGGACGAATATGGATGAATAATAAAATGTTTTTGCATAAGTGAGAAAATAAAACATCCAAATAAATAATCTAGCGAACAAAATATTCATTATCAAATACATAACACGAGCAGTAATTAAAAGAAACTTCAAGAAAAAAAGTCCCCCAGTGG